TAAAAATCCACGCCTATATCTGTGAAATTCTGGGCAGAATTAGTCTTTAAAAAATCCACGCCTATAGTTGTGATATTCTGGGCAGAATTAGTCTTTAAAAATACACGCCTATAGCTGTGATATTCTGGGCAGAATTAGTCTTTAAAAATCCACGCCTATATCTGTGAAATTCTGGGCAGAATTAGTCTTTAAAAATCCACACCTATATCTGTGAAATTCTGGGCAGAATTAGTCTTTAAAAATCCACGCCTATATCTGTGATATTCTGGGCAGAATTAGTCTTTAAAAAATCCACGCCTATAGTTGTGATATTCTGGGCAGAATTAGTCTTTAAAAAATCCACGCCTATAGTTGTGATATTCTGGACAGAACTAGTCTGTAAAAATCCACGCCTATAGTTGTGATATTCTGGGCAGAATTAGTCTTTAAAAAATCCACGCCTATAGTTGTGATATTCTGGGCAGAATTAGTCTTTAAAAATCCACGCCTATATCTGTGAAATTCTGGGCATAATTAGTCTTTAAAAATCCACGCCTATAGCTGTGATATTCTGGGCAGAATTAGTCTTTACAAATCCACGCCTATATCTGTGAAATTCTGGGCAGAATTAGTCTTTTAAAATATTCTGGACAGTATTAGTCTGTAAAAATCCACGCCTATATCTGTGAAATTCTGGGCATAATTAGTCTTTAAAAATCCACGCCTAGTCTTTAAAAATACACGCCTATAGCTGTGATATTCTGGGCAGAATTAGTCTTTAAAAATCCACGCCTATATCTGTGAAATTCTGGGCAGAATTAGTCTTTAAATATCCACGCCTATATCTGTGAAATTCTGGGCAGAATTAGTCTTTAAATATCCACGCCTATATCTGTGAAATTCTGGGAAGAATTAGTCTTTAAAAATCCACGCCTATAGCTGTGATATTCTGGACCGAATAAGTCTTTAAAAATCCACGCCTATAGCTGTGAAGTTCTGAGCGGAATTGGCCTTTAAAAATCCACGCCTATAGAGTGACATTCTGGGCATAATTGGTCTTTAAAAATCCACGCCTATACTTGTGATATTCTGGACAGTATTAGTCTGTAAAAATCCACGTTTTAGCTGTGATATTCTGGGCAGAATTAGTCTTTAAATATCCACGCCTATAGCTGTGATATTCTGGACAGAATTAGTCTATAAAAATCCACGCCTATAGCTGTGATATTCTGGACAGAACTAGTCTGTAAAAATCCAGGCCTATATTCTGGGCAGAATTAGTCTGTAAAAATCCACGCCTATAGCTGTGATATTCTGGGCAGAATTAGTCTGTAAAAATCCACGCCTATAGCTGTGATATTCTGGACAGAACTAGTCTGTAAAAATCCACGCCTATATTCTGGGCCGAATAAGTCTTTAAAAATCCACGCCTATATCTGTGAAATTCTGGGCAGAATTAGTCTTTAAAAATCCACGCCTATAGTTGTGATATTCTGGGCCGAATAAGTCTGTAAAAATCCACGCCTATATCTGTGATATTCTGGGCAGAATTAGTCTTTAAAAAATCCACGCCTTTAGTTGTGATATTCTGGGCATAATTAGTCTTTAAAAATCCACGCCTATAGCTGTGATATTCTGGGCAGAATTAGTCTTTAAAAATACACGCCTATAGCTGTGATATTCTGGGCAGAATTAGTCTTTACAAATCCACGCCTATATCTGTGAAATTCTGTGCAGAATTAGTCTTTAAAAATATTCTGGACAGTATAAGTCTGTAAATATCCACGCCTATAGCTGTGATATTCTGGACAGAATTAGTCTGTAAATATCCACGCCTATAGCTGTGATATTCTGGACAGAACTAGTCTGTAAAAATCCACGCCTATATTCTGGACAGAATTAGTCTTTAAAAATCCACGCCTTAGCTGTGATATTCTGGGCAGAATTAGTCTGGAAAAATCCACGCCTATAGCTGTGATATTCTGCACAGAATTAGTCTTTAACCAGTAAGGAAAGTAGTAAAGTCGGACGGGGCCGACTATATGATACCCTTCACCACTATGGGTATATTAAACAGGACTATTAGCATGAAATTGGATGAAATAAAATATGTGATATTTATCTAAATGTGAATCTACGTAGATCTATCCATAAAGTATGTAAATCGACTTCAAACAAATATAAATGGGTCATCCGTTGGGCTATGTCTGTACTTCTAGAAAACGCAACTACATAATTCTATGCTCAATTTTGTACGTTGTGCAAAATTTGATGTCAAACTGACTAACATGAGGAGTTTGATGCCCAATTTACTTGAAATCGGGCGAAAATATATATGGATTAAGCGATTTCAAACAAACTTGTCACAGGATAGGTTATACTAATTTCAGAACGTTTTGTTCCTATTGGTTCTTGGTGCGCCAATTACTTAAAATCAATCTATAATAAAAGGGAGCTATATCTAAATCTGGACCGATTTTCACGAAACAACGCAGACATCACTCTAGGCTCAATTCGGTAAGTTATGCCAAATTTTGTGCAAAACGAAAGATATATAGGGACTTTGGTGCAACATTCACATGAAATCGGACGAAACTATATATGGGAGCTATATGTAAATCTTGACCTATTTTCACGAAACTTGGCAGACATCATTCTAGGCCTAAATGATTAGGCTGTACCAAATTTCGTGCAAATCAAAAGATATATAGAGACTTTGGGGCACCATTTACATGAAATCGGACGAAACTATATATGGAAGATATATCTAAATCTGGACCGATTTTCTCGAAACTTGGCAGACATCATTCTAGGCTCATTTCAGTACGTTATGCCAAATTTCGTGCAAATCGAAAGATATATAGGGACTTTAGGGCACCATTTACATGAAATCGGACGAAACTATATATGGGAGCTATATCTAAATCTGGACCGATTTTCTCTAAACTTGGCAGACATCACTCTAGGCTTAATTCAGTACGTTATGTCAAATTTCGTGCAAATCAAAAGATATATAGGGACTTTGGGGCACCATTTATATGAAATCGGGCGAAACTATATATGGGAGCTATATCTAAATCTGGACCGATTTTCTCGAAACTTGGCAGACATCATTCTGGGCTCAATTAAGTACGTTATGCCAAATTTCGTGCAAATCGAAGGATATATAGGGACTTTGGTGCACCATTTACATGTAATCGGACGAAGCTATATATGGGAGCTATATTTAATCTGGACCGATTTTCTCGAAACTTGCCAGACATCATTCTAGGCTCAATTCAGTACGTTATACCAAATTTCGTGCAAATCGAAAGATATATAAGAACATTAGGGCACCATTTACATGAAATCGGACGAAACTATATATGGGAGCTATATCTAAATCGGGACCGATTTTCACGAAACTTGGCAGACATCACTCTAGGCTTTATTCAGTACGTTATGCCAAATTTCGTGCAAATCAAAAGATATATAGGGACTCTGGGGCACCATTTACATGAAATCGGACGAAACTATATATGGGAGCTATATCTAAATCTGGACCGATTTTCACGAAAATTGGCAGACATCATTATAGACCTAAATGATTAGCCTGTACCAAATTTCGTGCAAATCGAAAGATATATAGGGACCGTTTACATTAAATCGGTTAAATATATATATGGGAGCTATATCTAAATCTGAACCGATTTTTCCCAATTTCAATAGGGTTCGTCCTTGGGCCGAATAAGTGACCTATGCCAAATTTCATCCAATTCGGATCATAAATGCGACCTGTACTTTGTTTACAATTTAACATGGACAGACAGGCAGACAGACAGACGGACGGACATGCATAAATCGACTTAGAAAGTGATTCTATGCATATTCTCAAAAGGAACCATGGGTCTATCTCAATTATTTTTGCCTGTTACAAACATATGCACAAAGACATAATACCCTGTACCACAGTGTGGTGAAGGGCATAAAAATCCACGCCTATAGTTGTGATATTCTGGACAGAACTAGTCTGTAAAAATCCACGCCTATATTCTGGACAGAATTAGTCTTTAAAAATCCACGCCTATAGCGGTGATATTCCTGGCAGAATTAGTCTTTAAAAATCCACGCCTATAGCGGTGATATTCCTGGCAGAATTAGTCTTTAAAAATCCACGCCTATAGCGGTGATATTCCTGGCAGAATTAGTCTTTAAAAATCCACGCCTATAGCTGTGATATTCTGGACAGAACTAGTCTGTAAAAATCCACGCCTATATTCTGGACAGAATTAGTCTGTAAAAATCCAAGCCTATATTCTGGACAGAATAAGTCTTTAAAAATCCACGCCTATAGCTGTGATATTCTGGACAGAATTAGTCTGTAAAAATCCACGCTTTAGCTGTGATATTCTGGGCATAATTAGTCTATAAATATCCACGCCTATAGCGGTGATATTCTGGGCAGAATTAGTCTTTAAAAATCCACGCTTTGGCCAATTATATTCTATGAAAATAAAAATCCTCTGAGGATCACTTCGTTGGTCTGAGCCTCCTTTTAGAAATAAAAAAATAGTTGGTTTTTTGATTTTTTTTTTTAGAAATGTGTGCTTTGGTTTTTATTCTTTGCTATTTTATTTAAACTTAACGAACATTAAACAAAAATTTATGTTGTTATTGTTGTTGTTGGTTTCGGTTGCATTAAATACTTAATTACAAAAAAATAAAACATAAAAGTAATAAGAAGAAGTAAGATATGAGAAAAATGACGATTGTAGGACGTTTCTGATGATTCATTATCTCCATTGGTTGTTATTGTTCTTGTTGTTGTTACTGTTGTTGTTGTTGTTGCTGCACAAGTTCTTGGTTCTTCAATTAAGGACAATTTTTGTTGTTGATGTTGGTGTTGTTGTTCTTAATGGTTGTGTTTCGATTGTATCATATTATATTCCGATTCGGAGTCATACAAGAATATTTAGAAAAAAAGGAATAGAACTTCCATCGGCTGGCGACGAAAGTTGAAGAACTGCCTGGCGGCGCTGCAACTTAGTTCTTCTTCAAGCTATCCATGACCAAGGGTAAATTCTTGGCAATGAAGCACTTGAAGCCACGGAAGGCCCATGAGCAGGAATCGGATTTCTGTTCATTTTTGTCGGCACACTTTTCAACATCGGCCTTAACTTCGTCCTTGTTGTCCTTGCCCTGACCCAATTGGGCTACCAAGTTGTCGTTCTTGAAGCCATCCTTGGCATCGAACAGTTCGAATTTCTCGAAAACGCATTGAATGTAGCATCGGGTGATCTCATCATCGGGGAATTCGAATTTCTTGTATTTCTCAATCATTTCGGGGGTGACCTTTTTGGCTTCCATGCACTCCTTGCGGGCCTTCATTAGATCCTCTTGGGTGCGTAGTTTGTAGTCAGCGGAGGCCTGTGTGGAAATCGGATGATAGGATAAGAAAAGAGAAAAAAGGAATCTCATTCGAAATACTTACCACAGCAAAGAGAGCCAACAATAGAACAGCTGTTACTTTCATTTTGTTTTGCTTGGTACTTTGTTTTGACGCTTGGTGTATAAATCACAAGTTTGGGTTGTGTGTTGGCAGAGTTGTTTAAGCACGAGTTGTGTTGACTTGAGCTTGATCCGTTTAGAACTGATGCTAATCCATGTTCGGTTCATGACTTTTATAGGCTGGCGCATGTGGCGCAAATCCCACAGCAAAATGCTCGGCAACACAACAAACTAATAAATCGTACAAAGAACTTAAGTGTGTGCCCAGATATGTACGTATGTATGTCGGTTTGTATATATGTATGAATTGCATGAATAGCCCTCCAGTTAGTTAGTTAGGCCCCCAGATACAAAACAAGCATTGCAAGCATTGAAACCTGGGCAGGCTATAATAGTAAATGGGAATGCGTAAGTTTGTATGTGTGTGCGTGAGTGTATGTTGGATGTTATTGTTGTGTTGTTGAAATTGTTATTATATAGTGGGATGCATGCTGATGGAGGATAGGAAAAAAAGTTGCAATTGTATTTATTTGTGTGTTTCTGGATCATTCTTTCTCGCCAAACAATCAACCATCAATGTGACAATCAAAGAGAATGGACGACTGGAACAAACAAAAGAAATGCAACAATCTTGTACCAATTATTGTCATCTTCACGACTTTAATAGATGTCCATCATGCTATGAGGGTTTAGCGAACAATTTATTTTAGTGCTTCCGACTTAAATTTTTATTTTGTTTTGTTTTCTTTGAATGACCATCAAGGGCTCAGACGTATTGATGACAAAATGTAAAGCAAAAATTAAGGATAATTATTTCATTTAATATTTTTTTCAAATAAAGACATAAATTCGTTACATTACATGGCTACGAAGTAACTGCCGGGAAAATAAAAATTTCAGCAATTTTTTCGACCAATCAATCAGTTTCTTAAGCGTGAATATTCAGTTCCTATATAGAATATTTTTCAATGACTACAATTAAGGATTATTCAAACAACATTTGATTCAAAAACCAGTAAGGAAAGTAGTAAAGCCGGACGGGGCCGACTATATGATACCCTTCACCACTATGGGTATATTAAACAGGACTATTAACATGAAATTGAATGAAATAAAATATGTGATATTTATGTAAATGTGAATCTACCTAGATCTATCCATAAAGTATGTAAATCGACTTCAAACAAATATAAATAGGTCATCCGTTGGGCTATGTCTGTACTTCTAGAAAACGCAACAGCGTAATTCTATGCTCAATTTTGTAAGTTGTGCAAAAATTGATGTCCAACTGACTAACAATTTACTTGAAATCGGGCGAAAATATATATGGAAGCTCTATCCAAATATTAAGCGATTTCAAATAAATTTGTCACAGGTTAGGTTATACTAATTTCAGAACGTTTCGTTCCTATCAGCCTATTGGTTCCTTGGTGCGTCAATTACTTAAAATAAATCTATATTAAAAGGGAGCTATATCTAAATCTGGACCGATTTTCACGAAACAAGGCAAACATCACTCTAGGCTCAATTCAGTACGTTATGCCAAATTTCGTGCAAATCGAAAGATATATAGCGACATTGGTGTACCATTTACATGAAATCGGACGAAACTATATATGGGAGCAATATCTAAATCTGGACCGATTTTCTCGAAACATGACAGACATCACTCTAGGCTCAATTCAGTACGTTATGCCAAATTTGGTGCAAATCGAAAGATATATGGGGACTTTGGTGCACCATTTTCATGAAATCGGAGGAAACTATATATGGGAGCTATATCTAAATATAAACCGATTTTCATGAAACTTGGCAGACATCATTCTAGGCTCATTTCAGTACGTTACGCCAAATTTCGTGCAAATCGAAGGATATATAGGGCCTTTGGTGCACCATTTACATGAAATCGGACGAAACTATCTATGGGAGCTATATCTAAATCTGCACCGATTTTCTCGAAACTTGACAGACATCACTCTAGGCTCAATTCAGTACGTTATGCCAAATTTGGAGCAAATCGAAAGATATATAGGGACCTTGGTGCACCATTTACATGAAATCGGAGGAAACTATGTATGGGAGCTATATCTAAATCTAACCCGATTTTCTCGAAACTTTACAGACGTCATTTTAGGCTGAATACAGTACTTTATGCCAAATTTCGTGCATAAAGAAAGATGTATAGGGACTTTGGTGCCTATATCGGACGAAAATATATATATGGGAGCTATATCTAAATCTGAACCGATTTTTCCCAATTTCAATAGGGTTCGTCCTTGGGCCAAACAAATGAGCTATGACAAATTTCAGCCAAATCGGACTATAAATGCGACCTGTACTTTGTTTACAATTTAACACCAACAGACGGACAGACGGACGGACATGAATAGATCGATTCAGAAAGTGATTCTATGCATATTATCAAAATGAACTATGGGTCTATCTCGTTTCCTTTTGCCTGTTACAAACATATGCACAAAGACAGTGTGGTAAAGGGTATAAAAACAATCTACGCATGAGAAACTGTTAAGCCAGAAAATTATATTTTTTAATTTTTAAATCTTTTGGTCATACACAGTCGCCGGCTATGTTTATTTGTACCCTTTTTAGAATTCCCCATTCTATTCAGTATAAGTATGTAATTATATACATGTAGGCACATAGCTGCCAAAAATTAATTTCCATTTCATTATTGCAGTTGTTTTGAGTTGCACATTTTTAACGATGCCATTGTAAGCGATTGCTAAATTTGTTTTGAAATGTTTTCAATTGGTCATTTAGTTAACAATCAAAACGCTTAATTGATGTTTTGTTTTGTTGTGCTTCCCTAATTAAAAACAACACACATTGTTTAAATGAAAAAAAATGCGTTAAATATTTGTCATATGATTGTCATATTTGTTGATCGCTGCATGTAGGATTATCATTAAAGGGCAGTATTTTCGATTCATTTAGTTGTTTTTCATAAAGTGGAGATAGCTGGCAGATCGTTGAGAACTATATAAATGTATCCCCTTTGTTCTAACGGGATAATAAACCAATACTAAACCTATAAAAATTAATTAACAGACCCCTACACAAATGTTTTTTTATACTGGCTTCTTTAAAAGTTGTCAGATCTTACAATTAAACAATGATTAAACTGAGTCCAAAAGGTTTATATGTGTAACGGTCATCATTTTATCTATAAACAGAACTCCCGAGAAGGCTTCATAAACGATATTTATCTGATTAAAACCCTAAATATGTTATGGTATGTTATGATTTTCTATTTGAATAGAATATTTCGTTGGTGTATTTCATAAAAAATTAATATACTGATTTAAATTATTCATAATTAATTGATATTACAATTTAAACTGTTATATAAAGAATAATTTTAAATATATTACAAAAAATAATACCATTTTAATCGAAACAGCATAAACGATATCTAGTATTTATACCCTTCACCACACTGTGGTACAGGGTATTATGTCTTTGTGCATATGTTTGTAACAGGCAAAAGGAAACGAGATAGACACATGGTTCCTTTTCAGAATATGCATAGAATTACTTTCTAAGTCGATTTATGCATGTCCGTCCGTCCGTCCATGTATTTTTGTTAACAAAGTACAGGTCGCATTTGTGATCCTATTTGGATGAAATTTTTCACAGTTCACTTATTTGGCCCAAGGACGAACCCTATCGAAATTGGGAAAAATTGGTTCAGATTTAGATATAGCTCCCACATATATTTTCGTCAGATTTTAGGTAAATAGTGCACTAAAGTCCCTATATATCCTTCGTTTTGCTTGAAGTTTGGCATAGCGTACCGAATTAAGCCTAGAAAAATATGTGTAAAATTTCGTGAAAAACGGTTCAGATTTAGATATAGCTCCCATATATATTTTCGTCCGATTTTAGGTAAATAGTGCACCAAAGTCCCTATATATCCTTCGATTTGCACGAAATTTGTCACAGCGTATTGAATTAAGTCTAGAACGATGTGTGTTAAATTTCGTGAAAATCGGTTCAGATTTAGATATAGCTCCCATATATATTTTCGTCCGATTTTAGGTAAATAGTGCATCAAAGTCCCTGAAAATCATTCGATTTGCACGAAATTTGTCACAGCGTACTGAATTAAGCCTAGAACGATGTGTGTTAAATTTCGTGAAAATCGGTTCAGATTTAGATATAGCTCGCATATATATTTTCGTCCGATTTTAGGTAAATAGTGCACCAAAGTCCCTATATATCCTTCGATTTGCACGAAATTTGTCACAGCGTATTGAATTAAGTCTAGAACGATGTGTGTTAAATTTCGTGAAAATCGGTTCAGATTTAGATATAGCTCCCATATATATTTTCGTCCGATTTTAGGTAACTAGTGCACCAAAGTCCCTATATATCCTTCTGTTTGCATGGGTTTATAAGTAAATGAAGAACTCAAAATGTGGCCGAATGCAAAAAAAAAAAAAAAAACATACTGAAATAAGTGTACCCTAATATGAGGCAAGTTTCGATGAAATCGGTTTAGATTTCGATATTTTTAAATTTATTTACATAATTTTGTCCAACTCTATATCTGACCAAAATTTAGTATAGGTTGCAGAATGACACGTTTAATTTCATGTTGATGGTCCTTCAAAAATGCGATGTCTGTTAGGATTCCATCTGTTGGATATACCAAAAGTGGTGGAGGGTATCATATAGTCGGCCCCGTCCGACTTTACTGCTTTCCTTACTGGTTTCATATTAACTTAGGCAATAATAGTTGAAATTGATTCGTTAATGATAGATCCAGAAGTTGCTAAGTTTATCGCAGCACGTATATTAAGGTGGGTCATCTAACTTAATTATAAAGCAGTAAAGAAAGTAGTAAAGTCGGACGGAGCCGACTATATGATACCCTTTACCACTATGGGTATATTAAAAGAATGCATCCTAACAGAAGGGCCATTAACATGAAATTGGATGAACTAAAATATGTTTTGTTTTGTTCTTGATGGCCATATTTTGGGCCCTACTTAAAATCGGGCGAACATATATTAGAGCTATATCTAAATATGAACCGATTTTCAAGAAATTT